TGCTTTCTAAATTTGTTCTTTGCTCAATGAAACAATGGCTGAAGTATGGGCTTACCCCTCTCTTACACTCTCTATTTTTTAGCCAGAAGGGAAATCGTTTTTTTGTTAGGTGTTTTCTCACTTGACTTACTGCCAAAAGTGGAAGTGTTAGTTTCTCTTTGCAGCTTATGAAAATCTGTGTGCTTGTGTTTGTGGGTATTTTAGCACAGCTAAAACAAATGAAAAAACAACCCACCACCCCAAAACCTGAATACTTCCCCACAAAAAACATCAAGAGAATAGGCTCTGTCCAAAAAAACCCACAGTCCTATGACACTTTGTTTTTCATCTTCTCATGCTCTACAAAGAAGCCCGTATTTCCTCCAGTACCCCTCATAGCTATTGGTGTCCTTGCTGCTTCTGCTCAGATCAACCAATTTTCTATGGCATTTTGCACATGGCTTTTAATTCCTTGGAATATGCCTCTTCATCCCTTTCCATTCAGGGGCTGAGAGTGACTTGCCTGCAGGTGCAATAAATATTCCTGCATTGTAGGCAGTCGCAGAGATGGCAGGTTTCTGCCATCAGGTCTAGTGTTCGCCCTCCTTAATGCCATAGCAGTGTGCCCGTTCTCAGTATTCTCTCTCCATCTGTTGTCTGCTCCTGTGTGCTGACAACAAACTCGGAGACTAGTTAGTTGTCAAACGCTCTCTCCTCTTCATTAGCAGACATGGATCAAAGTGACAAAATTAAGAATCAGGAAACGAACAGAGGCAAGAAGAGGCAAGAGGAAAAATTTCACACAGGCCACAAACATTTGCTTCCTTTCTACCTTGTATTTTTTTACTTCCGCTGCACAAAAAGCTGCAGCTAGACAGTCTTCTCAAAATTTTCCATTCACCAAAACAAGCTCTCAACCTTGACCTGACTTGCACACTTCTTTTTGCTATGTGGAGCTTTCTGTTGGTTTTGGAGCTATCAAATGCGTTCCATTTTGTGACTATAAACTAAGTGTCTTTTTTGTTTCTCTGCTGTGCTGTAGGTGCCAAATTGGAGGCTATGCCAAGGCTTTGTATTTTACAATGGAAGTGCTTATGAATAGAAGCTGATTAAGGCTTTGCTTTCTGTCCTGCTTTTTTGAAAGGAACAGGCTTTAGTGAAGCTTAGTTACTTCTAACACATGATATGACATTAACACCATGGAATTTCTGGGTTTGTCTGCTTGGCCGATCCTAACTGGACTAACTTGATTGTTACCAGTGCACGATGTCACTAGGTAAGGCTATGATTCTAAGAGGTGCCATACATTGTCACCCTTTTCTTTTTCTTTTCTTTCTGGAGAGTCTTGGTTCTCAGTTTAGGTCTATTCCTATGAAGAATTTGTGGCAATCATGCCTATATTGCTGCATATAGCCCTCTAGGAAAAGAAATTCTAGCTCCCTGTCTTATATACTTACACTGTCTAGGATATTTCTGTATCTATTGCTTTGATACCCTTCCTGGAAATCATCTTCTGGTTGAGCATACCTGGATCTGGGTGCTAGGAAACCTCAGAGTGCAAGCTGAGAAATAACCTGGTCAATTTGGATTTTTTTCAAGCTACTCTTCAAGTGTCTCATTCCTGTGTGAAAGATTGCATATGTGTATATATAGCAGACAAGTAAAAACATCTTTAGTTTTATGTAATTTTTTTAAGTATCATCATTATTTTCCATCTAGAAATATCTCTCTCAGTATCAGCAACGACTAGTCCCACGCTGGGAAAGGACAAAGCCTGGAATGAACTCTCCTGAACAGAAGGTGGTTTCAAACTCTGGGCTGGCTCCGCCGTGGGGCCAGACGCTCAGCGAGCCCCGCTCTGTGCCGCCAGTGGTGCGAGTCCTTCCTGTAACGCGCCTTAGAAGGGAAGTTCTGATTGAGGTAGCGGTTTAGCATGAGTCATGCAAGTGAAATGTTAAGTTTGTTTCTCAGACAAAAGCAAATCCAAATTCCTCAAAGTTGTCTCACCCTTAAGCCTCAGAAAGCTTTGATTTGCTAGCTGGAAGCAATAAAAATAAATGGGAAGACTTTTTTCCAGTTGTCTTAATCAAAAAATCGCTAAGTTGCCTGATAAGTAATTACAGGGACTGGAACAGGGCGTGACATGCAGAAAAGGGTCCAGGAAACATCTTTGTAATTACACTCTGCTTGTTACCATGGAGATGCCAGAAAATGTCATTTTTGATGTTTGGCAGTTGAACAGCAGGTTTGACCTTAGAGTTGTTTTTTGTCTTTTCCAATTCATCTTCCACGAGGGGCTGACCTTTCTCTCCTGAGCCGTATGTATCTTTGTATATCCCTCCCTCAGTAAAAACCACTATATTGTGAATATGTGTACTAGTATTAGCTTGAAGAATGCTCAGTCCTAGTAAGTTACAAGATGCTGAATATGAAAAACCTAGAAAATACAGAATATGCACAGTCAGCAGCAAATCCCACATATCTGGCATCACAGACCTGGCAAAGCCATGTTAATTGGAATTGTTTTACTGCTATTTAGCAGAATGTGTTCCTCAGCAGCAATCCTTGGCACAAGAAAGGTAGGGGGCAAGAAGGCTGGAGGGGAGAAGGATCACAATAGGTGGTATAGATTTATGGCCAACACACAGTGAGCGGGCAGCAGGCAGGAGTTTCCCTTCTCCAAGCAGGCTGCATCTGCGTGGCAGAGTAGCTAGGTGCTCCGTACTCGTATACTGATTGATTGATTGATTGTTTTTTCATTTTCCTAGCAATCATTGCAACCTGTCATTTATAGGGCTTTCTAGTCCAGGCTACACAAGACCTGCAAACAGTAAATGCCAGCAGCTCTGTTAACTGTAAAGATTTGGGTCAGATTTTAAAATAATGTTTAAATTGGTAATTGAGAATACTAAACGTTCTCAGTTTGCATAGTCAAAGCTAGGAGCAAGGCTCGCCGTGCCCTCTAGTGTGCACAGCCTGCAGCTCCACTGTCCCCTCGGCACGGCACGCAGGAAATGAAGCAGTGTTTTCTAGCAGTGGATTGGCACGGCAGACTTCTGCGTGTCCTCCACGTTGCCCACGCGAGACAAAGCCCAGAATTACAAGGCAGTGCACGGAGCCTGTTCTTCGTTGGCTGGCACGGCACTCGGAGACAAGGCACAAACACGGATTGCGTGTGTGGCCTAGTGGGAACTGGCACTGCACGTGAACAGATGTACTGCCCCAAGCACAGACCAAGTGTGCAAGTTTACGAGCGAGGAAAGAAAAATTCTGTGCTCTGCTTTCCTTCTGTCCTAGATAAAGCCCATACACAAAAAAATCCTGTTGAATGTGAGTATTTCTAGCAGTTTTACAAGTGGCAGAGGTGAATTATTCCCCTTATCTCTACCATTTTTGCCAAGGTCTGAACATAGCTAGGGTCCTAGTTCTTTAGCTATGTATGGGGCTATACTGACATCTCCCATGTTCTGTACTTGTCTCAGGCCTGGGCTTTGCTGGCAGTCTCATCCCAGATTGCTTCATTATCCTCTTAATTAGAAGATGATCTGCTTAATTAGTCTGATGATCCGCTATTTGCTGTTCTTTATGTCACTGAATTTGTCTAGACACAGATAGGCCAGGTTGGATGAGGCTTTGGGCAAGCTGGTGTAGTGGAGGGTGTCCCTGCCCATGGCAGGGGGGTTGGAACTAGATGATCTTTGAGGTCCCTTCCAACCCAAACCGTTCTATGAGTCTATGAACTCCATGTGCTAACAGCCTGAAGTCCATTCAGCAATGCAGTCCCAGGAAGAGGTTGGCTGAGGTGTCTGAGCAGGCCCCTAAACAATTCAGTAACTGCTAACACTTCTCTGCAAATGTCCAGAACATGAAGGCAAGGCAGTTGCCACTGGCAGCTGCAGAGCCACTCTGATTGTGCTTGTTGAAATAAGGTGGTGGGAAGGTATCCTGCAGTTCAGAGTAGGGCAGCATGCATCATGAGATGCTGGTTGTAGGCCATGCATGCAAGGTTCTTGGCCTCTAAGTCTTAGATACTCTACTGCTTTTGTACAGAATCACCCTTTTCTAATACCTGCTGTGATTTGTGTGGTTCTGTGATTCTGTTTTCAGGCAACTTTTCTCCAAGTCTTCTGATGACAATGCGTTGATAACATTAGCCCTTAAAAGCTACTGGTACCTCCTATTCTGACACTTGCATCAGTATGTTGAAAGAAAAAAAAAAAGTAAAGTACTGATACACACCTGCTCAGTAGGCAGTGAAGCAGCTACTTATCATAAAAGGCAGATGCCATGCTCCAAATCACTGAACTGTAGACAAGCTTCCATTCTCTGCAGTGACCAAGCTCAGGACTATTGCTGAGCTTATGACCTCCCCCAGGCTGTTCCTGCCACTCATTACTTTGCCAGAGGGTGCAAATTCATTGTTTCATTCACTTCCTCTAACAGCTTTCAAGGGGTTTCCCCAATCATCCTCTTCTTTCCAATAGCAACCAGACTCGGTTGCACCCAAAGCACTGATTTCAGAGGAGTATCACACTGTAGTGCCTGTACCTTCCCTGAAGATCTTCAAATGTCCTTTTTTTATGTACTGCCAGGCAACTGATAGAGCATAGCCAGGTAGCTTTTTAAGTTGCACCTCTACGTAGCAGTACAGCACATTTCCAGGCCCAGGTTTCACAGAAATAAGCCCTCTAACAATGTTGGATTTTTTTTGCCTTATGTTCCTCACTGAAGAGTTGTAAGGTGGTTCTGGATGGGATGGTGTATGTTCTTCCTGGACTGAGCTGCCCTTGGGACAGAAAACTTGGGAGGTGGAAGTCGTCTTATTTGTCTTCATGAGATTCTCCATGAGTTCTGAAGAAATCATTGGTCTCCTTTTGTGGCGAGAATAACTTTTCTGTGTAACAGGTGTTCTTTGGGAGAGCCAGAGACCGTTGTTACTTATACATGTGGTTTTGACAAAATAGGTAGCAGACTTTGGGAAGAGAAATCTTAAATTCTTGTCTGATTCTGATTTTTCATAGGACTCTATGTATTGGTGGGAGCAGGGGCTCTCATGACCACAGTTGGATTTTTTGGGTGCTGTGGAGCAGCGCGGGAGTCTCAGTGCTTACTTGGAGCAGTAAGTAAAAGGTTTCAAGAGCCTGGGCTGCGCAGGAAAATCATTCAAAAGCATATGCTTTGTGTCATTAGGGAGAAGATCTTTGCTGTCCAAGACCTGAAATGTCTTATGTCCTTTCAGTGGCTCATCTAGCATCTCTAGCCACTGTGCTATTGCAGAGCTTCCATACATGAAGAAGTTCCATTGCTTGTCTCATGTGATATATTTCCTGGAATTACCTTCTTACTTTTCTGAAGCTACCATCTGAGCCACATCTTTGCCATTTCCACTTTTGTTTCCATATTACAAGAAATCTGACTTGACACCCTTCTTATGGACCCTGCTTATCAGCTTGCTTTCAGTTACTGCATGGGCTGCTGAGGCCTGGGCAAGGACGAGGGACTAACTGACAGTCCATATAAAGCAGAATTGTGCAAGGTATATTAATATAAGATTCTCTTCTTCCTCTGCAGTTCTTTGCTTGCTTGTTGGTGATATTTGCAGCTGAGGTCACTGCTGGAGTATTTGCCTTTATAGGCAAGAAAGTGGTAAGTAGCAAGCAACTTCTAATGTAATAACAGGGCAGTTATGGATTCCAGTGCCAACTGACCTACAGTCTGGCTCTTGCATAGGAAAACTTTCCAGAAGACTTTTCCCAGAAAGACTCTGTGACATGCTGATCTGGAGTCAATGAGAGCTTATTATCACAAGTCCAGAATGGGATGCAGTTTTTGCCTCCCTCTATTAAAGAAAATCCATAGGTGTGGTTCAACCATCCATCCACAAGGAGCATCCAGTGGAACTATACGTATGAGGGTATTGCTTGGGAAAAGGGCAAAGAAATTCAAGCACTGAACTTCTCCAACTAACAGTATTTAACCAAAACACAGAACATGGCATATGTATATTCTGACCCTTGCAGAGTCGCTCTGAATGTCATCAGGCCAAAAAATCTCCTATCTTTCCAATCATGGTACCTCAGTTTACCAGGCATAATTTTCTGCTCTGGAGGTTGATGACACAAGCTGGAAGTCTGCACTGGACTGAGGAGGAGACTTATATGCCACTCACTTGGAAAGTCTGATTTCTGCAGGCAATACAGGAAGCCCAGAAAATCTATGAAGACATTTATGATGACTATATGAAAAACCCAGGAGGGAAGGTCAACAGGACTATCTATCACTACCACTTGGCTGTGAGTAGTGCTCCTGAGCTTTAATACCTTGCACTGCTACTCCACTGTCCCATTACCCTTTAAAATTCAGAATGCCTCCCACTGAGGTATGAAAGAATAGAACTGGGTGTTAGCCAGAGGCCCACAACCTGGTTTCCTGATGGCTGTCAGAATTCTAGTTTTCAGATCCCTAGTGATCCCTGCCTTTGAAAGTGAAAATAGCCAGGCTTTTAAATTTTAGCTGATGCTTCTGGTGTTTGTTGTGCGGAAGATATGACTATTATGGCCCTTTTGGATATTAAAATCCAAGAATAAATACTCACAAATCAGAGAGAGGTAGAAAGGTCTGAGTTTTATCAGAGGAAAAAAACTGGACCCATGTCCTAGGATCTGTAATGTGGCAGATCCTGTCACTGACTGAACTAAGTAGGTAACGAACCAGAAGCACATGTGTGACTCACTTCAGGCCACCCAAAAAGTGTCTGAATCAGAATTAGAACCTGTGACTTCCTGAATCCTATTTGTGTCCATCTTGTATCTACACTGCCTCCCACAGAGATCAAGCCCAAGCTTTGTTGCTCCTTACAGCGTTCCCACGTTCTTTAGAACAAACATTTCACAACCTCAGACCCTTTTGTCCTTCTCTCCATAGCTGTTATTTCTGACCCGAAGAGGAATTCCAAGCATTTTGTGGGAGATAGGCAAACCGGAAAAACAAACCCTCTGAAACACTCTTGATTTATTACTGTCTCCAAACCCAGCACTATGTTTTGTCAGAAATAAAGATTCTAGCATTCTCCATTGTAGCTTTTGTGCATTGCCCATAATTCTGTATGCACTATTTAAACTTTCTGCTTTCTCCCTTTAGCAACTCCTCCTTCCTTGTAAGACAGGTATCTGCTTTTCCAAAATCCGCTTGTTTGCTTTGTTATGAGATACTGTGATAAAAATCCTTTCTGAACGCTGTTGCTAATACAAATTTGTCTGTTTGCTATGGCTTCAGACAATTGAAACTGATTTTTGACAATTTTGACCCATGCAGTTGGAACTCTACCGGAGGCAGCAGTTAATATAGGGAATAAATTTATTACCTGATCTGTATTATTGTTTATATTTTTTTTTAGTTATCTGTTGTCTCACTTTCAGTATGAAACAAGTCTATGGTTTCCCCTTCTTTGATAATCTCTCTCTCTCTCTCTCATTTAGCTCCAATGCTGTGGTAAAGATAATATGGAACAACAAACGGGATTACCCTGTCCAGAGAATATCCAGATGCCAAAGGCAAGTGTCCTCTGTTCTGGTTGTTCTAATCACTTTTTCACATCAATTGTTTAGTAAAAGAAAGGAAGAACTTCCTTTTTACCTTGCAAATTCCAGCATGAAATTCCACGTGAAACGGAGCAGAGCGGAGGCAGAAGTAAGTTGGAGGTCATATCGAACATGCCGAGCCCTCATTTCTGAAGCCTGCTTGTAGCGTCCCGTGGTAGCTGAGGTAGTATTACACCGTCTGAAAAGAAAAGGGGGAAGGATGTAGCAGAACAGGAGTCCTAAATGAAAAGCCCTGTGAAGGCTGAATTTTGGCAAGTGCCCTAATCAAGCATGGAAACTCCTGACTAGAAACTGTTGCTATTAAGAAGGACACTGTTCACTTCTGTCTTTTGTGGAATCTGCTCATGAGTACAATGTCTGAAGGTTCAAACGTCCCCATTTAGCATGACCTATGATAAAAAGGGCTTTAAATTTAGGTAAAACTGATTGTAAAAAAACCCTACTTGTATGTGTCAGCCTGTACAGGCAAGAGGTCTCTCTAGAAAAGGGAATATGCTGTGAAAATTGTCCAACAAAACAGGAGGCATAGATGGAAGAATTAGGCCAATGACTGCAATAATACTTTTCATGTTTATCTGTTGTTTAGTGAGAACAGCTGAATGAGTTGGTTGGAGTATATTTTTCTCGGAGTAAAAATATTTCAATTTTGTTTTTAATAGAACTGCCTGGTTGAAATCCAGAATGTAATTGATGCTAATCTGCATTTAGTTGGAATTGTTGGAATTGCAATTGCTGGCATCACAGTGAGTAAATCCATATTCTCACTCTGAAATCTATATTTGAGCCCAGTACCCTGTCCCTTACTCAAAGCTTTGTGGAAGGTGTTTTGCAGCAACTGGTGAGATTCCTCAAAGGTGCAGCTATTCTTATCACTTTCAGTGTGTCTTCTCTCTGGGAATTGCCTACATTGGCACAAGCAGACTCGTTTTACCAGTTTATTTTGTGTCCTTAAGGTCCAAAGTATCTAATGATAATCTTATTTTGTTGTAATAGCAGAAAGCAGAGTGCCCATGAACCAAACTGAAAAGCAAAAAGCCGTAGCAGCATTTCATCTATTCCAAAACAACTGCAGATGGATGCTTTAGGCCCTTTGAGGATCCATTGCTTAGATTTTGTAAGGAATAGAGAGTACCTACCCTTTGTATAGAAATGGTTTTTCAGGAAAATTCATGCTGTAGCATTGGTTCAATGTGAAAGATAGTTTATAGACAGATTTTTCTAGGTCACAGATCCAGTGATCGGTATGTATTTGGTTAAAAGAACAGGATTTAAACTGCATAGTTTCCAGAACAGCATTTCTTTCCTAAACGCATAGCACCTAGTTACAGGTAGCTGTTTCATCAAACTGTGTCATCAAAGCATCAATAACTTTCGTTCCAGTCTACCTTCTCCCACAAGTGCGTGTTGTATTCCCAAGGTCAGCTCCTTCATGACGGAGCTGTGACCAACAGATGTCACTCTGCTGCAAGGATATAGCAGGAGTGGGCAGACTGTATCAAACACAGGCTTTAACAGAAAGCATCTTCCAGCATGCATGTGCCATGACTTCCTCCAGACTCAGAAACAAGCAGCAGTCTGAAGTAGCATGAGGAGCCTGAATATTAGTAAAGAAATTCACCTTTTAGCTGCTCTGAAAAGAAAGAGGTTCACGGACTTACTACGTGGACACTGAAAAGCAGATGAAGGGTTTACGTATGTAGAAGAAACCATGGTGTGGGTAAAGGGGATTAAACAACCCTGTGATTTGTATAAAACGTGAAGGTGCACTCAAAAACACAGCAAAGCAACATGGGTGGGACAGAGTTCCAATAACCTCATTGCTCAACACGGATGCACCAGAAATATGAACATCTCTTCATGGCGTCGCACCTCAGATACAGCAGAAGTGGTGAAATTATAACCTCTTTAGCAGCAAAAGCACATCTGTACATTTTTCTGTGCTTGTTTCTGACACTTCATGTGGTATGACTTCCTCCTTGGGGAGGTGTGCGGGGAGAGGATATGACCTCAGTGGTTTAACTGCCTGATAATACTGCTCACCTCCCACCATTAGTAATGAAGCCTCAGGAGGTAGTTGCTAACTGCTTTGGAGAATCAAACTGTGGCAAAAAAGAAATTTCTGGAGACTCTGGCAACACCCACTTTTCTCTGCTTTTAACATTCCCTCAGTTAACTAGCTCCCTAACATGAACAGAGTTCTATATTTAATGTATAGTCGCAGTCTTGAGTAGTAATTGCTGAGAGCTTAGCTTTCTCTGTAAAACCCCAACGCTCAGCAGCAGCTCCAGAGACCTGGCTCCTCTGGAATTGTTCTCTGCTCTATTCAAATAGACATACAATAGTCTATGTAGAAGCCTTCCGAAACTCAGAACCTTTTGATGCAATACTAGGCATAATACCAATAGTCACAGTTATTGCTGCCAGTGAAATTTATGCTAATAATCTTACTGTTTGGGGCTGTTATGCTGGCCTTAACATTTAGAACAAAGAACAGTGAAACTAGTGCAAGGAGATAAAATCTTGGCCTGGCATATCAGTAAAATCGCTTTTATGTTAATTGTCTGATGTCTTGGAGTTTGTAGCTAGAAGCAGTCACTTGCTACTCTACCATAAGAACCTTCAGATTGTTCTGAGATACAGACTATTTTGTAACTGTTTTGTAAGTGGATCCCTAAATTGCATCCCTTCTCTTCTAGATCTTTGGCATGATATTCAGCATGGTTCTGTGCTGTGTGATCCGTAACACAAGAGACACGATCTAAAACTTCCACTACACAACTATGTTCCAGGAGTTCCAGACTAAGCTTTACAAGAAGTGCTCTTCTACCCAATTTAATAATTGTAATGCATTTTAATTAGTGTTTTAACATACTGAGAGGAAAATATCTCATTAGGTGAGCAGGTGAATTGTATTAGTTACAGTAAAACTGAAGTGGAAAAAAAAGAGGGTTAAAATGTCCTTTTTAATGAAAAAAGCAAAGATGCATCTAAGACTAATTTGATTTTTAATGTTTGTATATGTGCAATTAAGAGTTTACACATCTATAGATGTTATATAAGCACATGCATATCTCTCCTTACAAATATATATGCACATGAACAGGTACCTGTATATGCAGTACCTTGTTTAGGTAAGTATGTGCAAATGGAATATGCTGTGTGTGCATGTTTGCAGGCACGTTCTTCCAGCGTCTCACTACGCAAGACTGTGCACGCACCCATAGGCATACAGTGCTTGAAACTCTTTTATATTCAGCCCGTTTGCCAAGAATTAGCAGAGGAACAACGCGATTTGAAATAGCAAGACCTATGATCCATTTTGTAACTGTTCTTTCCAAAGCCCAAACAGAGTAGAATTAAGAAAACTGGACTTAATTAAAAAAAAAAATAATGCTGAAGGGCATGCTCCAGCAAACTTTTAATTATTATTTTTTTTTAAGGACTGGACCCTTTATGCAAATGCAGAAAGCTCTGGGGAAGAAACATGTCCAAGGAGATCCAGGCTAAAGGAAGAGAGGGAATTAGGTGGGAAGCTGGCAAGATAACGCAGTTATCTGGGAGCAATTGCAGTGCAAAGTGTGCTTAAGCTTCCCAAGCTAGCCTGAGACACACACAAAAATAAACCTGCGAGTTTAAAGAGGCCACTAAAATCTTTATTTGGAAGTCCCTTTATCTTGCAAGACTATATATGGTATATATGCTGGTGCAGGAGTGGAGCCTATACCCAGAAAAGCAGCAGCTTTTTCAGACAGTTTAAAATCTAACTGGCCTGTGGAAGCCAACCGAAGAGTGAAAGCGGTCAGGGAAAGACACACAGCACTTTAATATCCTCTGTTTCTGCTTCTGTGACTATCACAGCTTCCGTGGGGCTCTTACCTCAACCTCTCGCCCTTTCTTGCAGGTGTAAGGCAGGAAAGAAAGATGGGACATTTTTACAGAGCCATATAGTAAACTTTCTTACTGGCACCTTTAGATTGCATGTCAGGTATAAAAATTACACTGTGTGCTTGAAATACCTCAGGGCTTGCGTTTACATATTTTTTGCATTTCTGTATTTTCATTTTTCTATTTGCCATATTTATTCATAAGAGAATGTTCCTTTTAAAACAGTCTAGAAGGGAGAAAGATTGTCCCCAGAAGGGGAAAATAAATTACATCAAAGGCTCAGAATCTCTTTTTAGCTTACTCGAGATAATTCACCATTTCAGAGAACAGCTTTTTGCTAATATCCACATAGCAGCTCTGTCTCTCTGATGATCACTAGTTCAGATTGCTGATGCAGTTGCTCCATACACAATGGGGAAAAGTTCAGCTAAACTACATATCTCATTGAAATGGTCCATGATGTCTAACATGATTTGGCATTTACAAGTCATGGGGTCTTACGCATTCCAGTGTGCATGTCTGTGGGGAATATACATCCCCATGGTATTTATCTCCATTTCCCAAAGAAACTCCAACTCCCATCACTTTTCTGTTACTTCAGGATTGGAAATAGCATCACCGTTCCATGTATCAAATTTAATTGACACATCTTCCTGTCTTTTACATAGATCTCTCTTTTCAAATTGTTCAGCCACAAACTGTGACACTGAGACAGCTGTGCAGTAAATGCCAGGTATGCAGCAGGCACTGCCAACTGAGCAGTTTCCAAGTCTACCTTCAGGTACCCAGCTGACAGGGAGTCGTTATGTGGTATGCTGTAGAAGAGTTAGGCTTGTGTCATTCTGTTAACAGCTGATTAGCTATGGATGCCATGTAAAAGTAGGGCCGGGGACCTTATTCTGCAAGCATCGGACCAGGAAATAGGGCCCCGATCTGTTGTTGACTCCTAAGAAAGGCTCAAGTACGAGAATAACACTGGCAGCAAATCCATGAGGGTCTCAACCTGAAACTAAGAAAGTAAGTTTCTCACAGCAGGCAACTGACATAGCCAAAGCATTTTCTTGGATCCCAGGTACACTTGAGTCTGTCCCTACAACTGGTTCTGCTCTAAGTAGTTAATGGGATAGTATACAGCTGAGGGGTTTTCTCTCCAAGGAATACCGACAGAAAGAAGAAACCTGCGTATAGTGTCATTTTTGCCATTCAGAGCAAGACAGCTTTCCAGGAAAACCAGGAAAAATAGCACAGTAGGGAAGACAGTGGTTCAGGTTCCAAGATTTTTGCCCTACAGGGATAGAAATTTATTGCAAATAAAGCTATTTCCTGCTGTTACACTCCCCTTTGTAATGACAGTATTTTATTTATTTTAAACACAAAAATCTACATATAATTGGTTTTAATTCCCCAAATTTGTAGCACCAGAATGTAATGATAGGACCAGAGTTTACTTCTTTACTTGTTTACTGTTTCTTGAGTAATCTGAAAGATGCCCACTCTTGCTTTTGAGATGCACTGAATAAAAAAGCAGCTTGCAGAAACTTCTGTTGCTTCCCCAGCCCCTCAATCCCACAGAAGTACAAAAACATTCAAGTGCCTTATGAGTACAGGGAAGAGCAGTACAAAGAAACCTCCTGTAAATTCAGACTTGAACAACACTTTCTGCTGAAGTGTTTTGGGTTTGTGGTTGGGTTGGTTTTTTTTCTTCCTCTGAACAGTACATTTGTTTTTCTGAGCATAATTACTGCTTATATGCCAGGATTTACTGCTATTTAGGTATATGGGATACTTGCACTGCATATCAGGAACAGAACAATACCAGCTACTGGTTTAGTTCTCCAGGTTATTGGTATAATTTAAGCTGGAAATCAACATGTTATGTATCTAGTAGTGCCTTTAACAAAATCCAGAGATGTAGCGTCTTTTGTTGTTTCCTGCTGTTGTTTGCTGTTGTGACAAATAATATATTTGCAGTTTTCTCTGCATCTTAGTAACTGAAAGTCTTTTTTAACTCATTAAGGGACAGAAAATGCAACTGTTCTTTCCCTGTCAAATCTGGAAGAATTCTTTCCTGTTGCTAGGTAACAACTCCAGTTTCCATTGACTAGCTTGAGCAGCCATTTTTAAATGCTCAGATGTCACAGCCAGGGTTATGGCTGTCAAAACTGGATATATAGTGCCCACAGTTTATTGTGCTGCTGCTTTTTCATTTCAGTTCTTGAAAGTGCAAAATCTTTGATCTTTGTTGGCAGTACAAAGTTATTTCCAAGCAACTACACCATAGGTCTTCAAAAAGAAAGCTTTTCAAAGGTAACTAAATCCAAACCAGTATCTAAACTCCTCAAATATAGTTCACACTCCAGAGGTGTATGCCAGGATTTATTTAGTTAACAAACTCCGTTGCTTGTATGCACCAGATATATTGTAACTGCCATATAAGTCAGCAGAAGTACCCATTTAGTCCTGTCCCTTGTACCTTTTTCAGCAGAAAGTGACAAAAGATCAAATCCCTCCAGGTGATCACATCACACGTTTTCTTCCTCTCCTGTCAAACAGTTTGTTCTAAAGCATAAAGATGTAAATTGTTGATGCCTTTATTATAGCTCTAATCATCATTATTCACATTTCCCTTGTCTAATTTTTCGAAGTAACTGACTTCAAGTGTGAGCTTCATCTGTTACAGGAAAACCTCAGCCAGTTTTGGTATATTGCAGAGATTGCACAGGAGCTGATGAAGCACAGCCCTGTAATATCCCTACAATGAAGATTCATATTTCACTTTTCTTCATACTGATAGTTTTATAGCAAAATATATTTCATATGTATTGAAAAGAAATTGAGTTATCTTAAGCCTTCAAACGCTGTATTTTACAGCCTGGGGAGGCTACTGATTAACAGCATCAGATGCTGTTCATAGAAAATGTACATAAACAAAGCTTTTCAATCTTACTTCTTCCTCTCTATTGGTGCTCCAGTCACTAGGTTCTCCTTTAAAACAAAAGCCACTTCCAATATAACATATTTGTTTCTATAGCACAAATTGTGATTTTCGACAGAACTGGCATATCGGTTCATGCTGCAAAGCCTGTAGCAGAATTACCTCTAGGGCAGCTTTCTTTGAGATAAAAAACCCAAACATTGTTGCTGAAATCAGCTTTCACTTCCCTTTAGCCTAATGTGTTCCGAAGTGGCGTTTTATCAGCTTTTCTGTCTTCAATTTGAAACCACTTTCTAATAAAAATAACCTGAAATAAGCGACCACCAAGAGAACTTGCGTCCGTGCCCCCCAGCCTGCGCTCTCAGAACCAGCCCCCACAAACTCCCCGCTGCACGCCCGGGAGGTTCCGCCGCGCACCCCCTCCCG